TCGACTGGACCCGGCGGGGCGGGAGAAGCCGATCGGCTTCGGGTTGCGCGCCGATTGGCCGAGGCCACGGGAAGCAGGCGTCGAACGCGCGCGCTCGCCCTCCCGGCCGCGCGCGGGGTGGGGAAGCGGGTCCGCGGAGACCTAGAGGCCGGGCGGAGGCGAGGCGCAGGGAAAGCAGAGCCGGGAAGGGCGGCGGCCCGGCAACTTTGCCCGCTCCTGTCGCGCTCACCTGCCAGCTGCTCCAGGCCGCTGGGTTTGGCCGAGGCGGGGAAGCACAGGTCGGCGGCGGTGCGGCGGAAAGTTCCCCCAGCGACTGGGAAACCCAGGCTCCGGCTTCGCCTTTCCCTCCCTCGATGTCGGGGCACCGCCCTTTGTAGGGAACCCCTTCCGCAGCCGCCCTCCGCTGCGCACTGCCCTAGGCTCACCGTTTAATGCACACACTATACATTCCAGTGAAGTTCTGGATTCTCCTCCAGACTCTTTAGATGCATGTGATGAAGTACATTCCCTTCTTCCCGATCACACTCTTCTTTGGTTGTTTCACTTTGCTAGATCCTTAAGCTTGTTTAGTCTCCTAGCAGGATAACGGCGGACAAGGAAAGGAGATTTCAAGGACTCCTGACTCGCTGGCCTTGGGAGGTCAGTGAACTCAGACCTGGATGTTACCCAGAGACCCTGCCAGTAGCAAAAGGGAATCTGTTGAGTGGAGAGATCACTGAAGATGCAAAATCGTTGAAGTGTCACATCATTGAAGATGCAAAACCGTCTCATCAACTGGTGGATATCCAGACATTAGTAACTTTCTCCTACACTCATTCTTAGGCTGCAGGGGCACTCACAAACAATCCCAAGGTCCTGACAAGGTCCAATGAGAGTCCCAAAAAATAACCACCTCTTGTTTTACTCTACGCTCATGCATTTATTTGTTGAAAATAGCAAAAAGCCGGATTCGCACGTGGTAAAATAGTACAGGATAGTTAAAAAAGAGTGTGTTAGATCTATTTGTATCCACCCAAAAAGAGCACAAAAACATGATGAGTAAGAGAACAAGTTGCAGAAGACTGTATGATGCACATTTTTTGTATATTTTTAAACTTCACTCCAGTGACTTCCTGGGGCGACAAGAACAAACGTCTGTTCACCGGAAATAGGGCACCAACCACAGATCAGAAACACAATTCCATCAAGTCCAGCTGGTAAACCAAAGCGATTACTGGCTTTACGCTCAGAGAAACGTGTGACTCGAGAATAGCTGCATCACAGGAAAGTTCTGTGCCCAGCATGGATGGTGACCTCCCCAAAGACACTTAAGTGGCATGTCCCATTCAGTTAACCTTCAACTTCCTACCCTATTGCCTCCCAAGAGGATGTGCAGCTGGGGGTAGACCAGGGGAGAGAAGACTAGCTATAATCTCAGGTGAAGGTGGCCAGTGACTTTCCCTCACCTCTTACTTGAGGGAACATTAATAAACTCATTCTTGTGAGGGTCTCATGGAGGGGTAAGTACAACTGATCTGATTTTAAGATGGTATCAGCAGGTTCAACAACACTCACAAGGGAAGCTGTTCAAAGAAGGAAGTAGGCAGCTAGAGATGTAGCTCAATGGTGGAGTACTTGCCTAGCATATAGGGGGCCCTAGCCTGGTAAATAAATTAAGGAAGGAAGTGGGGAGCAGGAAGTGTAGAAAGACATTAGAGAACTTTAGTTTTATTTCTTTTATTTATAAATGGTGTGGGGCTGGAGAGATGGCTCAGCAGTTAAGAACACTGGTTTTTCTTGCAGAAGACTCAGGTTCGAATCCCAGCACCCACATGGCAGTTAACAACTGTCCATAACTCCAGTCCTGACAGACTCTTCTAACCTCCGTGGGCATCGCACGACACAGGTGCACTTACCTACATGCAGGCACTACACAGATACACATAAAGTAAAAATAATAAATAAAATTTAAAAAATATTTAAAAAATAAAAAAGCCGGGCGTGGTGGCGTATGCCTTTAATCCCAGCACTCGGGAGGCAGAGGCAGGCAGATCTCTGTGAGTTCAAGGCCAGCCTGGTCTACATAGTGAGTTCCAGGCCAGCTAAGGCTACAGAGAGACCCTGTCTCAAAAAGACAGAAAAAAAAAAAGATTTATTTATGGTGTGAAGTGAGCTGGGCGTGGTGGAGCATGCCTTTAATCCCAGCACTTGGAAGGCAGAGGCAGGCAGGTCTCTGTGAGTTCAAGACCAGCCTGGTCTACGTAGCAAGTTCCAGGCCAGCTGGGGCTACAGGGAGACCCTGTCTCAAAAAAACCAAAATAAATAAATAAATAAATAAATAAATAAATAAATGTGTGAAGCAAATTGCAAAATGTTGACAACAGTCCATTCTAAGTGATGGGCCCACAACTCTTTATATTTCTGTATTGTTTTAATACCCCCTCTCCCAGTAAGTATTGGGGCTAGTGTGGATCCTTTGGGTCATTAACACTAAGGTGGGGTTCAGCAACCTTTTCTGTGAAGGGCCATAAAGGCAGCATTTCATGCTTTACAAGCTCTGTGCTCTCTGGCAATGGCACACTCTCAGCCACAACCACAAATAATAATGGATGTGGTGATGTCCTAATAAAATCTTATTTATAAACATCAAAAGGTGATTTTTTTAATTTTATTTATTATTTTTATGTTATATGTATGCATGTATTGTCTGCATGTAGATAAGTGCACCCATGTCGTGCAATGCCCCCGGAGAACAGAAGTTGTCGGATCCCCTGGAACCGGGGTTACGGACAGTTGTTAGCTGCCATGTGGGTGCTGGGATTCGAACCCGGGCCTTCTGCAAGAACATTCAGTGTTCTTAACTGCTGAGCCATCTTTCCAGCCCCCTAAAAGGTGATTTTTTTAATAGAATTTTTCTGTCTCAAAGGATTGGAATGGGGAGGGTCATGAAGCAATGTCCATGAAGTCATCATCAATGATGGGGGGGGTACTTTGCAGTGATGCTGCTATTTTGGGGTCACCCATGCTCCTGTAAGTAACTTCTTACCCATGCTCTTGTAAATAAGTCCAATCAACTCATTGGTTCAGGCCATAAAAAAATTAGATGGCATGCCACATTTGGTCCATGGGCAAAAAAATACTTGGGTTGGGGGCTGGAGAGATCCTGGGTTCAATTCCCAGCACCTACAAGGTGGCTAACAACTATCTGTAACTTGAGTTCCAGGGTATCCAATGCCCTCTTCTGACCTCCGCAGACATTGCATGACACAGGCGCCCTTACATTCAGGTAATACACATACACATAAAATAAAAATAGTAAATAAAATTTTCAAAAAGAAAAATTTTAGTCAGGTGTGGTGGCACACGCCTTTAATCCCAGCACTCAGGAGGCAGAGGCAGGCGGATCTCTGTGAGTTCGAGGCCAGCCTGGTCTCCATGGTGAATCCAGGACAGCTGGGGCTACAGGGAAACCCTGTCTCAAAAAGACCAAAAAAAAAAAAAAAAATTTAAACGCCCATAGAGCTGGCCGTGGTGATACATTCCTTTAACGCCAGTACTCAGGAGGCAGAGGCAGGTAAATCTCTGTGACATCAAGTCCAGCCTGGTCTACATAGCAAGCTCCAGGCTAACTGGGACTACAGGGAGACCCTATCTCAAACAAACAAACAAAAGATGCCCATACAAATGCAGAACATACCTTAAAATTCACTTCCTTCTGGAAGTTCCAGAAATGCTGCAGCTCAGGCCCTCCTAGACCTCTATCTGATCTCCTGAGGTAAGGCCAGTACCATTATTTGATGTTCAGCCACCACCCCACTTTATTCTTTCTTTCTTCACTCATGGTTTTTGTTTTGTGGTGCTGGGAAATCAAAGGTCTTACATATGTTAAACACTTTACCATTAAACTAAAGCTATATACTCTGAGCCCCACTCTTGGGTTTGGTTTTGACTTATCAATGAGCTGTAAATTCCCAGGGTCCAGGCAGGAACCACACCCAAAACATTTGTATAACTCTGCATAGAGGTCAAAAGCCAGTGACTTTGGAATGAGATGGACTTTATTCAAGTCTCACATCCACTAATTACCAGCTCTGTGGGCTTGGGCAATTGACTTGATCTTTCCCACTTTGGTTTCATCAGCTGTCAGATAGGGATAATAATAGTACCTAGCTCATAGACCTGGCCTGGAGCTTCAGTACAATCATGTGTGTAAAGACATTAGCTCAGTGCCTAGCACACAAGTGTTCTGTGATGTTAGCTATTAATATACTTAGTACAGTGCTTAAAAGCCCATCAATTTATGTGCCTTTCTTATTAAAGCAAATTAGAACAAAGTACAGAACACTGTAATTGCCTGTCCTTGACATTCAGCACGATAGGAATCATCCCACACAAGGAAACCATTTTCTTCGTAGAGATACAAAAACAAGAATTAGCTTTGCTTTTTAGCTCCCCCTCCAAGAATACCGGAAAATCCTATTCTGAGCAAACAGATCTTGTTGTCCTGACAACACAGATTATCAGGAAAATAAGTAAACGGTATCTGAGTCTTATTTTTAAAGAAAACTTGAATACTGTAGAGAGGGGGCTGAAAAGTAAGACTTCAACATCCACTAGAACAGCTTCCGAGACCTTGTCCCTCTCTCTGAGCCAGCCTGTGTTCTACTCATGTCACTACTCAGGGGAACATTCTACTGCTTAGCCCTGAACATCTAGAACAAGAGGATAGGATTATAGCATCAATGAAGTTGATTCATAGGACTCTATTGCTCAACAAAACAACAGTTAAAAAGGCCTTGAAAAATTTCTTGCAACAAGTGGTGAGATGAATAGGTTTATGAGACCTAAATATAAATGGCATCATAAATGAAATTGGTAGGGGCAGATGAGAAAACTGTTCATCTGACTCT